CTGTCCAGGAATGTCTCTTTTCTTAATCTTGTCACTTTTCTTATTCTCTTTCAGTTCTATTAAATGCAAATTTCAATAATATGACATGCTTGCGGACTTCATGCCCAGATCCTGAAAGCTGTCAAACATCGAAATAATGAATCAAGAATTAGATCGCAATGAAGATAAGTTTAAGGAAATAAAACAAAGAGTTGGAATAGCTGAAAGAAAATCGGTTCCAGAATTGGAAAGGTCCATACATTTCAACAAGAGTACTGCCAAAAGAGTGCGTTGTACTTGGGACACATCGAAGGAAATGTCCTTCAAATAACTGTCAATCCAAATGCAGTCAAAAGGTACTTTGTTGGATCATCTATATAACATTAATATTCTCCGATTGGGATGAAGAAGGCTTTCTTTCTCACTATCTAAATATTCAACCCTTTGTAAACCCTTTGAGCTGGCTCCCATTCTTTAATTACCCTCTTTGGAACTTGGAAGTTATCATTGAGAAAAATGATGAATAAAAAATAAAATAAAAAATGAAAAGAGAAGAAAAAGAAAGATACAAAAAAGGAAGAAAAGACAAAGAAAATGAAATAAAAAAATGAAAAAAGAGGAAAAATGAAAGGAAAAAGAAAGAGAAAAGAAACCAAAACAGAAGAAAACAAAAGAAAATCAAAAACAAAGTTTCCTGAACTACGTTCGACTTGATTCTGAAAGGATACGTAGGCAGCCTCTCTCTGGGGTTCAGTCACACCAAAATAAAAATCCAAATTCCCCTAAAAGTGAAATTGGGGTAGATGGTTCGGCGAGGGGTTCGCCTGAAAGGTTCCAAAGTTGTACTTAAATCCAAATGCTTTTTACCCCAAAACCCTGTTCAAGTCCTTCTGATCAATCGACAAAGATGTTCAAAATGGGAGGATACAGTTACTTGGATCTGACACAACAAAATAAGAGAAATAAAATGAGAGAGTCTTATTGGTGAAAACTCATACGGGCACCGTGAGGCGACAGTAATTAGAGAAACTAAAAATGAGAGAGTCTTGTTAGTGAAAACTCGCAAAGAGCACTATAAGGCGATGGTGAGAAGAGAAACGAGAGAGGTCAGCTCGTGAAAACTCGCAAATGGCACCATTGATTGAAAAAAGGATCTTCAGTCGCTGACATTGACACAATCCTAGGCAAGGTTTCCCGGTTTCGAGGCAAAAGTCGTGATGAATTTTTGAGAGTTGGACGGTTTACACAGATCAGGCATCCAGTCCAAAAGGCATGTCATGTTCATTGAAGTCCGCATGTACTCCAGATAAGTCCTTCTTTACTTTACCCGAAAGGGACACTTCTTGTTTTAAACTCATTCTCCATTCCATTGTTTGTTTTCTTTGAATCCCTTTCGGTCTAACTCTTTTTCGAAACTAAGACAAAGAAAGGATGGTAAGACTGATTTATAGGGCTCTTGCTTAATACAAGCTAATATGCAAAAGGCACCCAGCATCTTCAGGGGGCATCAAGTCGACCTCGACTGGCCATGGCGGCCGATGCTTCGTAATCAAAACTCTTGGAAGGAGAAAATCAAATTGAAGTGCCTATAAAGGCAAATGAAGTTGAAAAGATTGAGTACCACATGGCTAACCGTCTTGGCAAAGGTTTGAAAAGCCAAGGTACCCCAAATACTCTGAAATTGATGTCGGAAGAAAGAAGCCAGAAATGAAAGGCCTACGAAGGCAAAACAAAGTTGGAAAAGGTTACGTCCCACGCGACTAGCCGTTGCGCCAAAGTTTGAGGAGCCAAAAGTTCCCCAATGTTCCGAAGTTAAAAAAAGAAAAACAACAAGTCAGAAGGAAAAGGCCTATAGAGGTAAAATAAAGTTGAAAAGGTTGAATCTCACCGACCAATCATCGTGGCAGAGTCTGGAAAATCCAGAGTTTCTCCTAGGTTAGAAATGTAATCGGTATTCAGGAAACAACTAGTTACAGATGAACATGCCTGAGAACAAGTGATTGAAATAATCAAGGCCACAAAGTCAACCGCTGTTTCAAACTGACAAATTGTTCTTTGTTTGAAAAACCGGAAACAGGTGCAATCCAAAGCAACCTTGCAAAAAGCAGGTGCAACCAAAAACAAAACTGCGCAAGGGCTAGAAATAGCTTTGCGGCAACATCCCAAAAAGGGAAGTCTCCTCCAAATTCTTTCCTGCATTTTTATTCATTTTCTTAGATAAAAAAATGCTAAAAGTGAAATGAAAAGAAAGAAGAAGAAAAATTCAAAACCATGGTAGCATAGGGTCTCCAATCTCTAGCTACGTCTTTTCCAACATAGGGTCCCATTCCCTAGTCGATGCCAACATAACCTGGTAATCTTTCCAACATAGGGTCCCACTCCCTAATTGACTCCAACATAACCCGTAGACTTTTCCGGCATAGTTTTCCGGCATAACCCGATGACTTTTCCGGCATAACCCGAGGACTTTCCCGGCATAAATAGAGGACTTTTCCGGCATAACCTGAGGACTTTCCCGGCATAACCTGATGACTTTTCCGGCATACCACGAGGACTTTTCCGGCATAACCCGAGGACTTTCCCGGCATAACCCGAGGACTTTTCCGGCATAGCCCGATGACTTTTCCGACATAACCCGATGACTTTCCCGACATAACTCGATGACTTTCCCGGCATAACCCGAGGACTTTTCTGGCATAACCCGATGACTTTCCCGGCATAACTCGAGGACTTTTCCGGTATAACCCGAGGACTTTTCCGGCATAACCCGATGAATTTTCCGGCATAACCCAAGGACTTTCACGGCATAACTCGAGGACTTTTCCGGCATAACCTAAGGACTTTTTCGGCATAACCCGATGACTTTCCCGGCATAACCTGAGGATTTTTTCGGCATAACCCGAGGACTTTTCTCGCATAACCCGAGGACTTTTCCGGCATAACCCGATAACTTTCCCGGCATAACCCAATGACTTTCCCGGCATAACTCGAGGACTTTTCCAGTATAACCCGAGGACTTTTCCGGCATAACCCGATGAATTTTCCGGCATAACCCGATGACTTTCCCGGCATAACCCGATGACTTTCTCGGCATAACTCGATAACTTTTCCGGCATAACTCGATGACTTTCCCGGCATAACCTGAGGATTTTTTAGGCATAACCCGAGGACTTTTCTCGCATAACCCGAGGACTTTTCCGGCATAACCCGATGAATTTTCCGGCATAACCCGATGACTTTCCCGGCATAACCCGATGACTTTTTCGACATAACCCGATGACTTTTCCAGCATAACACGATGACTTTCCCGGCATAACCCGATGACTTTCTCGGCATAACTCGAGAACTTTTCCGGCATAACTCGATGACTTTCCCGGCATAACCTGAGGACTTTTCCTGCATAACCCGATGACTTTCCCAGCATAACCCGAGGACTTTTCCGACATAACCCGATGATTTTTCTGGCATAATTCGATGTCTTTCCCGGCATAACCCGAGGACTTTTCCGGCATAACCCGATGATTTTTCCAGCATAACCTGGTAATCTTTTCCAACATATGGTCCCACTCCCTAGCTAATGCCAGCATAACCTGGTAATATTTTCCAACATAGGGTCCCACTCCCTTGCTGATGCCAGCTTAATCTGATAATCTTTTTCAACATAGGGTCCCACTCCCTAGCTTTGCCAGCATAACCTGGTGATCTTTTCTGGCACAAGGTCCCACTCCCTAGTTGATGCCAGCATAACCTGGTAGTCTTTCCAACTTAGGGCCTCCGATCCCCATCGGATTTCATTTTAGATATAGGTTCTCCACTCCCTAATTTCTTTTTCTCAAGGATACACAATCCTGATTTTATTGCTTTCAATAAAGAAATAGTTTAGATTTTGTTGCAATAACTCACAAAATTTTCCTAGTGAAAACTGCAGCAAAAATATTTCGTTTGTTTGTTTGTTTTGGTGCTTGAACGGGTTTTTACCATAAGGCACGAGGTTTGAGATGACCAAAAGAAGAAGTCTCAATCCAAATAAAAGAAAAGAAGTTGAACTCTAAGTGTAGAAGTGGAGAAAAGATGTGGACTACTCAAGATATGATTGAAGTCACAAGCTTTGCATGTCCCGCTTTGATCCGAAAAACTGAAGAAGAATGAACCAGCGGTTGCAGCTAACGAGCATCAAGATTCAGATCAGAGTCTGCAGGAAGAACCAGCAAAGACTCAAGATCAAGCTTTAGAAGGTTTGTAAATATAAATCTTGTAACTCATAGTTGATAGGCTTAGCTAGTTTAGATTTTCATCTTTCATTTTGGTGTAATAAGGAGCTCAACAAGCAGAAACAACAGTAACAGCAGTGAAATCACAGCTATTCGGTAGTCCCAGCTACCAAAACTTCTAGAACTACACTGACCTTATTCCTTTATAGCCAAGGATATGAAGGCAACCTCCAAAGCAAGGGTCAGTCAGACTTTTTTCAAAAAATGCTTCCCATGGAGTTTCAAACGGGCAAAAATTGCTCTTAATTGCTCACTTTATCTTTGTCCGAAAACTCTTCATGTTTCCCAGCAAAGAGGAACAGCTGTGAGCACCTAATTTTTGCCCCGCGTGAAAATAACTCCTAAAAATAGAAAAAAATGATATTAATGGATTTTAAGAGTTATTATTTATTTAGTTGGATTTCATGCATGTTTAATATTTTAAAATTATAAAAAACTATCACATTTTAGTCCATGCTATCTTAGGTTTAATTTGCATTTAGAAATTAATTACATTGAATTAATTACATTATTAAACAAAAGTCATATATATATATATATATATATATATACATACATTAGCTTTAATTAATTAGGTCTTTTGCAAAAACAAATTCAATTAGAATTAATGTGACCATTTCTGAAAGGTCCAATAAATAAAAAAGGGTTAGTTTTGCCTTAAATTTCGAGTTGGGCCAGCTTCACAATGACCCAACTCCCTTCGACCCCAAAATCCCAATGCCCATTTGTCTACATTAAAACCCTCTTTCCCTTAAAACCTAGAGAGATCATCAGACCCTCTTCTTCCAAAAAAAAAAATGGAGCGCCGTGTCCACCCAAAAACAAACCAGACCCCTCACTTCTTCGACTGAGCAGCGACCCTTCTTCTTCTTCTTCTCTTTCAATCTCACTGACCTCTCACCCTCCATCCTTGCACATCACACGCACGAAAAGGGGAAAGAAAACATGCTCAAATTCTGAATTTCAGATCCAAAACGATCCTAAACTCCCAAAACAGAGACGAAATCCATAAAATAAAAAAAAATTCAATTAAAGTTGGTTTTGAATTCATTCGACTGTTGCATATCTTTGGGCCTTTAAAGCTATTCTGAGTTGAAGAGGTTGATTGTTTTCTGCTATTCTTCCTTCTGCTTTTGTTGCCGTTACCACTGATTTCGGTGTTTGGAGTTGCTTGGATTTCGAAAGTGTTGTTGAATGCTGAAACTTCTGCTGGGTTCCGATTTGAAGCATTTCGCTCTTATTTGGCTTTCGGCATGTTATCGCACATTTTCATGAATCAATGGCTGAACTCCAAAATTTCTGCCATTCGGATTTTTCTTTGATTTTGGATCTTTTAGTCGCTGTCAAGGTATGAGTTCGTCACCACTTCGAGGCTATACAATGAGGTGCATAACTTGGTGTAGAGAGAAAATCATGAACTCAAAGGTAATTTTTTCTTGTAATCAAATTCCTTCATTGTCTAATAGCAAGAGCTGCACATGTATGCCAATGAATATGCATCTTGCAATGGTTAACTGAAATTGATACTATTATTTGTTTGTCTCATCTGTGTATTACATGGCTGTATAGATCGAGATATAGGTTAGATCATCTTCTTCTTTTTTTAATGATATATTTTGTCCATTACATGAATTTACTTTCATACCTCCTTACTAATATACATAATTTTTTTTGGGAGAAAACTAAAATACTAACAGTATGGGACACAATTAGAAGATATGAAATCATTTGAGAACTCTGAAATTGAAAGGTACAGTTTATACTGTGTTAAACAAAAAAGCTATGCTGTATCAACAATATATCTGTACTCAAAAAAACATTGTCTTACATTCCAAGTAAGGCAAGGTCTACTTATTTGTTGGGGTTGTCTTCATATCTGACATTTACAGTTAGATGAACATTTTACCTCTTTCCAGTTAGATGAACATTTTACGTTATACCTAAAATATCGTAGCTTGCTTTAGGCACAATAATTAATAAATCATCACGGCTATAGATAGGTACGGTTCTCGTGGCATGGTCGTGATACCTAATCCAATTCAGGTGTGCATTTCATGCGACCCGATCATAACAACTTCGAACAATAATAAAAATAAACATGTCGCAAATCGCGAGTGTATTTTATATAGCGTGGTTTGCAACGTGTTCCAAAACGGCAAGTGTACGATAATCGTAACTTGTTCAAAAAATAATTTCATAAATCCTAAAAAGCGATTAAATAAATAAAAGCGGTTATAAAAGTTAAAAATACACAATAGGTTTAAAACATGTAATTAATCAGATAATTAGGACAATTATTAATAGTTAAGCCACCGTGCTAGAACCACGGAACCCGGGAATGCTTAACACCTTCTCCCGGGTTAACAAAATTCCTTACCTAGTTTTTTTGGTTTCACAAACTTTTAAATTTCCTCAATTTGGGATTTAAAATAAACTGATGACTTGGGATACCATAATAAATTATTCCAACTGGCGACTCTAAAATAAATAAAATAATCCCATTTCGATTTTTGTCACTTTAATTGAAAAAACTCCCTTATATCCCTTCTCGGGTGTAAAAAGGAGGTGTGACAATGCCTACGATGACAGAGTTAGTACGCGTAAAAAGAAAGTGCCTTTCAAAAAGGGAGCAAATCACGTAGCACGTACCATGGTGTTTTGCCTCCCATCTACCCTTAGTCAAGTCTCACCACTTACGCCCATCATAAGTCGAGTGGGTCGCCAACTTCGAAGCCCAATCCGTCAGGTCGGGGACCTCGTATGGCATCCATGGGATTGCTGCAAAAAGGGAAATAAAGGCACATTTACGGGGCCCGCCTCCGTCATAAATAAAACAACAAAGGCAAAAGTGTACCACTTACGTGTAAGATTCCATTCCTCGGAAAATGGTAGAAACTCCGCGGGGATAATGTCAACAGTCCGTATTTGGACGAATCGACTCATCTATCCCCGATCCCCATCTTCTTCATCATCGATAACGAAGGGCCTGATCAATCGGCATTGTAGAGTTAGCAGGCCTCGGTGGTGAAAAGGCCGGTACAACCTGATAAGATGGCTAAGGGTGAACTCGAGCCCTGCTTCCTCCACAAAGAATCACATCATCAATACTATCCTCCAAAATGACGGATGAACCTGTGCCAAGGTAGCCCGATACTTTCGATATAAGTCGAGCACAACCCTATCAAGGGGATCCAGCGTAAAGGGGTATGCGTATATGTTCAAAAACCCCTCTTCTGGTGAGTCACATATTGCGCATTTACCGCTTTCAAATTTTTGAAATTGGATTTATGCTTTATCGACTTATTTCATATCATGGTTCAGGCGTTAAAAATCGGTGAGGGTTACTCTTTCTTTTCGATGCCCGTGGAACTACTGTCAATGGTTTACACAATTACTTCTTGGGAATGTTAAAAAAAAAAGATTACTACATGATTTTTTTAATATGCCTATATCTATCGCTTTTCCTTCATTGATTTGATTCTTTCAATAGATACCGAGATTCAGATTGGAAATCAAAAATCTAGTAATTCAAACTATAAGACATAAGAGTAATTCAGATTGATCAGAACAAATAGATATAGCAAATAAATGGAATTGGATGCTATGTCAATCCCATATATGGAATTGATATTCACATATATCAAGATAATATTGTAGATTGATCTATAGATCCATATCAAAAGATCCATATCAAATGCAGCCTCTATCTTTATTTTATTCCAGGGGGCAGCTTTATAACTACAATCTAACTAATAAATAGTATGGTAGAAAGAAAGATTCATCTATTTCTTTCTACCATATTATCTATCTATTAGAATACTGCCGATTCTAGTCCACTCATTTCATTTAAGACATGAAATTAGAATCCTTTTCATTTTATTTCGTCAATTTTGGTTAAGAACTCAGAAGTCAAGTTTCATTCAAATTAGTTAATAATTGATCGTTTTGACTGACTATTTTTACGTAAATGATAAGTAGAAAAGAGGTAGGAACTAGAATAAATAGTGCAACTATCTTTGTAGTCCCAGAATGTTTCAGTTTATGCTCCTACCTATTATCTGGATATACCAAGAAAGATGTACCGTTTAATGAGGCTACTATGAAATATTTACTCATGGGTGGGGCAGCTCTTCTATTCTGGTTCATGGTTTCTCTTGGCTGTATGGTTCATCCGGGGGAGAGATTGAGCTTCAAGAAATAGTAAACGGTCTTATCAATACACAAATGTATAACTCCACAAGAATTTCAATTGCGCTCATATTCATTACCGTAGGAATTGGGTTCAAGCTTTCCCCAGCCCCTTCTCATCAATAGACTCCTGACGTATACGAAGGAGTGCGGTTCGTTCGAGAAATTCCTACCTCTCTATCTATCTCTGAGATGTTTGGATTTTCCAGTAGATTTTCTAAAATAAAAAGCACTACTTCAGCCTTAACTACAACTACATTACACAAGCCCCGCCGATACCTACCTATAAAGTAAAATTAAAATAAAAAAGTACCAGTGACGACGACTTTCTAGGTTTATGGATTCAGTCAGCTAAACTCCATCAAACTCTTCAATCAATATCAACAAGATGTCGTGACCGCTTAGTTTACTTTGGTTTGAATGTAAACTAAAACAAGCGGCGTTTATTCAAACAAGGAATTTTTTTCTTTAAAAAAAATAAGTTTTTATGTTATTTCGTACTATACAATTCTTTTCTTTGTGGGATCTTTTTCCCATGAGAGGTAATGAGAAGAATTCTAGAATGAATTGCTACCTATGCATAGATCACGGATAAATGGAAATTTTATTGATAAGACCTTTTCAATTGTAGCCAATATCTTATTACAAGCAATTCCGACAACTTCAGGAGAAAAAGAGGCATTTACCTATTACAGAGATGGTGCGATTTGAGTCTTTTTTTATTTCATATTTATTCATTTCTCTCAGTCTTACAAGGAGAAAAACACGTGATTCGAGAAAATATTTGAAAAAATTTGCTTTATCGAAAACGTGAGAAAACATCGAGAAAACAACAAATATTTTTTGGTTTAACCCTGCGACGTAGAAGGAATAGGAAAAGACCCTATAGAAATATTTTAAATTTAAAGCGAATCAGTCGGATTGGTCTACGAATCTATTCTAATTATCAACGAGTTCCGCGAATTTTAGGTGGAATGGGGATTGCAATTCTTTCTACTTCTCGAGGTATAATGACAGACCGAGAGGCTCGACTAGAAGGAATAGGTGGAGAGATTTTGTGTTATATATGGTAATCCTTTTAATATCCAAATTGGATTCGAAACTTCCTATTTGTGAAAAAGAAAAAAGGGGGGTTGTCTAATATCTTTCTTATTAGTTGATACCTCAAGGGGACTTTAAGAACCAAAAAGGAGTCATAAAGCTTTAATTACTGAATCGCTTCCCAACGGTCTATTCTGGGTTCGTTTAGATCTGATTATAAATTATGTTTCAGGAAAGATCCGGCATAGTTTTATACGGATACTGCCAGGAGATAGAGTCAAAATTGAAGTAAGTCCTTATGATTCAACCAAAGGGCGTATAATTTGTCGACTCCACAACAAAGATTTGAAGGATTAGTTTTTCAGCTTCACCATTCCTTTCGTGGGAATACAATTCGAGAGGAAAAATTTCAAGAAACTTATTTCTTCCAAGAAATAGATTCAGAATTAAGGTAAGGAATGAGAAATATGAAAATAAGAGCTTCCGTTCGTAAAATTTGTGAAAAATGTCAACTAATCTGTAGGCGGGGACGAATTATAGTAATTTGTTCCAACCCGAGACATAAACAAAGATAGGGATAATCAAACTTGCCAGAAGAGCCGATGTACAAATAAAGAATCCAAATCCAAGCTGGAACGTAGTCGCTATAGCGAAGCTATTGGCTTTCGCTTTGCTAAATCGGATCGGAGATGATTCGAGCATCAATGTTTATATATATATATATATATGATATATAAGAATGAGATTTCATATCAATATATGGGTACACTGATCTCCATGTGATATTTCTTTTGTCATTTTCTTTATACGATATTTCCACTTAGCTTGAAAAGAAGCCTCTCTTAAGTTCAAGAGTTTAGAAAGGCTCTTAGCTTGGGAATGAGCTTAGACTTCCTTAAAAGGAGATAAGCTAGAACTATCTTTGTACGTACAGGTCTCGGTAATTATAGAGACTAGATAAAATAGGGCAATGAGTTGGTTGTTAGAATGAATGAATGAGGTCGCCGCTTCGCCCTATGGAAACTAACCTTAGTGTCCAAATATTGTCGCGGGAAAGAAGCTTTTTGAATCAATAAAGGAAGCCTATTGAATTGGGAATAGAAGGGGAAGGGAAATATGCCAATGAACTTTAAGCAGGGAACAAAGCTGGGGATGGCAAGGTTCTTTATCAACGATGCGACATTACCGCAGTTGTA